TTCTGGTTGCTCAAGTTTCCTTGGCTTGTGGCCGCATCCCCCCATCTCTGCTTCTGTCTCACATAGATTTGTCCCCTGCCCAGAATCTTCTGTCTCTTATAAGGACATTTGTCTTAGGTCTGGGATCAACTCTAGCCCAGGATGGTTTTTTCTTGAGAAGTTTTAATTACATTGTAAAGACCTGTTTGTTTATTTTACTGGGAACTGAACCCAGGGCCTTCTCACTGAGCTATATCCCAGCCCTTTAAAAAAAATTTTTTAGGGCCAGGGATTTACTCAGTGGTGCCTCCGCCTGCCTCACAAGCAAAAGGTCCTGAGTGCAATCCCTGGAACAACAAAAAAAAATTTTATTTGGAGACAGTGTCTTGCTAAGTCCCCCGGAGGTTGCTAAGAGGCAGTGGGACTTTTAAGAGGTGGGGCCTAGGACGAGGTGGAAAGCCTGCCCCACCCCTGACTCTGGCTTCTGGTCTGGCCGGCTGGCTTCTCCCTCCACAAAGGCCCTGGTCAGCCTTTGAAACTCAGCACCATGCGTGTGTGTGTATGTGCGTGCATGCGAGCGTGCATGCCACTAACCTCTTTGTCACCAGCCTTACTCTGGTATTTCATTCGAGTAACAAAAGTGCAGGCTGCCTCACCTTGAAGAGGAGTTCTCTACCCACCTTGATGTGGGTGGGGCCCCAGCACCCAGAAGAAGGCGAGGGTCCCCAAGAGCTAACTGGCCAGGCTTCCTTTGCACCTTCGCTCCCTAGCTGCCAGGAGCCCCTACTGTGTAATGTCCCTCACCTCCCCTGGGTTGGATCTCAGGCGTCCAGGTCCTGGTGTCTGAGCAGCAGGGCCGGCAGGATGGAGACTGAAGCAAGGAGAGCAGAAATGGTGACAGCAGCCCAAGGCACGCACACGGTGGACAGCCAACTTTCTGGCTCAGTGTTTTTGTAGAAAGGGTGACTAATTCTTTTTTTTTTTTTTCTGGTGCTGAGGCCGGAACCCAGGGCCTTGCACATACTAGGCAAGCGCTCACCCCCGGGCTCCACCCTCGGCCCAGGGTGACTAATTCTTACCGAGAGCCGGGTTCCATTCCTTAATTCCCATTTCATGGACACGGACGCTGAGACCACCCAGTGGCCCTGAGAGCGCCGTCGTGATTCACTGGCGCACTATGTGTTTATCTAACGTGTGTCTGCTGCTGTCCGGCGGCTGCAGCAGCAGCCAGAAACAAAATAGCATCCTCATCCCCGGGGAGCTAACATTTCAGTGGAGAGGATGAATGATAAGAAGGGAAGGAAAATGTCTGACAGTTCCTCAGAAAGCTGAACAGGGAGCTACACACCCTAGGAGCCTTCAATTCCACACCTAGGTTTCTGCCCCAGGGAACCAAAAACAGGGACTCAGGCAAGTCCTTGGCCACACATGTTCACAGCAGCCCAGAGGTGGGAACAAGTAAATATCTACCAGCGCATGAATAGATCCACACAGGAAGGGCCATCTATGGAATGGAGTATTACTCAGCCAAGAAAAGAAATGAGGCACTGATACATGCTACATGGATGAACCTCAAGACCATGGTGCTGACAGTGACAGAAGCCAGGTATAAAAGGCCACATGGTATGTGATCCCACTGACATGAATTGTCCAGAACAGGCGAATCCACAGGGACAGGAAGCAGATCAGTGGCTGCCAGGGTCTAGGGGAGGGGAAGGGGGAGAGACTGCTCACGGGGGCAGGGTTTCCACTGGGAGGGGTGGAAGTGTTCTAGTCTTGCATAGAGGTGATTGTTGCTTGCCATCCCGAGTGTGCTGAGAACCCTGGGGGGGCTGGGGGGTGGAGCTCAGCGGCAGAGCACTTGCTTAGCACGTGCAAGTCCCCGGGCTGCATTCCCAGCACCCCAAGAATCAATTGGTAAATACAATATTTTTTGGTACCAGGGATCGAACTCGGGACCTTGTGCTTGTGAGGCACGTGGCAGAACCACTGAGCTACATCCCGGCCCTGGTAAATACAGCTTTAAAGAAAGTATAAAAACTACCCATTCAGGGGCCTTACAAATGGTGAATTTTTCTGGGTGAATTTGGTGCATGCCCCTAACCTTGGATACTGGGGAAGCTGAGGCGGGAGGGTCTTAAATTCAGGGCCAGCCTGGGGAACTAGCAAGATCACGGAAAGTACTAGGAAACAAATTTTTAAAAAAGATGTGGAGATGAAGATACAGCTGGCTGGAGCATCCTGCAGAGGCCCTTGGTTCAGAAGCACTGGAGGAAGAAGAGCCGAAGGCCGTAATGAAGAGGAGAATCGGCATCGATAGGACACCGGCCCTTTCAGTGGTGATGCCCGTCAGGGTGGACCCTGGCCGCCTGGCTCCAAGGCCATCCGAGGTTTCCACTTCCTCCTCCATGACACCTGGGCTCTCCAGAGCCTCCACGCTGGACCTGGACCACCCCTGGGTGGCTTCACAGCTGGCCGGGCTGGCTCAGGGGAGCAGGTGGCAAGGCCCCTGCCTCTGGGATCCCATGCCAGATGTGGGCCAGATGGCGGCCAGGCTGTGGACAGGGCCCTCCATGGAGTGGCCTGCAGCTCTACCAGCCCATGGGTCCATCCTCCTTGTACCAGGCATGTGCAGTGAGGTCCCCACTCTGGCCCAGTCATGGCAGCCACAGCAGTTTGGGCCGAGAGCCCTGGGGAGGGGATCCCTGGCTTTGCTGCTGTGGCCCACATCTCACCTGCAGCTGATGCCCTCGAAGTTCATCCCAGCGAGGGCCACACGGCCCCCCTTTCTCCTTTATTTTTATGGTACTAGGGATGGAACCCAGGGCCTCATATATGCTGGGCACATGCTCTACCACTGCACTACATTCCCAGCCCTTTTCAATCTATCTATCTATCTATCTATCTATTTATTTATTTTGAGACGGGGTCTCACGATGTAGTCCAGGCTGGCCTTCAACTTGCAGCAGTCATCCTGGCTCAGTCTCCCAAGTGTTGTGATGACAGGTGTGCGCCACCACGGCTGGCTCCCTTTTTATTTGATTTTATTTATTTTTAATTTTTTTTATTTTATTTTTTCCCTTTTCATTTTATTTTGAGACAGCTATGTCCAGGCTATGTTCAAACTTGCAGTCCTCCTGCCTTGGCCTCCTGAGTAGCCAGGATTGCAGGTGCTCACCACTGTGTTCAACTGAGCCCCCTCAAGTTTGGTCTTGATTGTTTACCACCTTGCTAATGCCCCTAATTAAAGATGTTGCCTCCCCAACTCTGAGAGGTGTCTGCTAAAGCCATCACCGGTTTCTCTTCTCGTTTCAGTAGTAGGGTATCTCCACAGTGACCCCCTGCCCTCTGTGACATACAGGCTGCCCCCGCCCAGCCTCCTCCCTCCTCTGGCTGGCAGCACACCCCTGCCCCTCTGGAGACCTTCGCACAGGGTCTCCTGTGACCTGAGATCTCGGAGCACCTCAGTGACCAGGGGATGGGGGTCTGCAGCACACAGTGCACGTGCACACAGCCGGGCACCTGGAGACTCTCCTGGGTGTTTTGCCTATCGCTGGCTAAGTGTCTGTGCCTAACACATGGGTGGAATCTGGGTGTTTAGGGAGCTTGCGTGCGATTGGATGCCATTGACTCTGGCTGTATGTAGGGCAGCATGAGCTGTCAGTCTCTGCTGATGGTGCTGGACGCCTGCACGTGGTTCGTCCGGAACAAAGGGTGATCGAGGCGGAATCATAGGTGTCTGCACAGCTTAATGGTCTGGCATTCACTGAGTGGAGCCTGTGTTTCCGAAGGCAGCAGGGCCTCCAGCACCTAGTAGTATCCATCAAGGGGCCTAGTGTCACCTCCTCGGTGGGTTACAGTGTTTGAGCACCTGGCCCTCTGCAGGCCATGGGGGCCAGTTGGGGCTGGTACTTCCCGCAGGAGCAACTCAGGCAGGAACCTTGAGGGAGGGTGCCGGGCTCCACCCACGCCCCCCCCACATGGCCTTGCCCCGCCTCTGAGCTGGCCCCGCCCTTCAGCCACCCCTAGCACACATGGAGAGCACCTTGCTGCCCCCCCTCAAACCCGGCCCCTGCCCTCTCTCAGGGTCTCTCTGACCTCTGCGCGCTCTACCCCTCCCCATTCAACCTCATCTATCACCAGGAACCCCGCCCCGGACCCACTCCAGCCCCCCCAGTCAGCGCTTCATCCTGGGCCCCGCCCTCCCAGGCCACACCCACCCTCCCCTCACAAAGACCCCGCCCCTCCCCGCTTGGACTCACCCTCTTTGGTCCTGGCCCCGCCCCTTGCCGTAGAGCTCCTTCCCAATTCCCTATCCTCTGGCCCTGGTTAAACCCAGGCTCCACCTCTATTTTCCGTAGGGCCGGCCCCTTCGCTCCAATACGCCCCTTTCTCCCACTCTGCTTAGGCCTTTGGTCTAAGGCCCCGCCTTAGCTTTCCGCCCCAGCTCCCCTTGGGCCCGCCTTTCTGTGGAGTAGACCCTCCCACCACCCAGGCCACCCCCCATAGTAACTGGTCTGCCGCACACGAAACACTCCACCATTCATTTTTGGGACCCACCTCCTAGGCTATGTCCCGCCCCCAGCTCCATTAAATCCCGCCCCTCGCCAGACTGCGCCCCCTCTCCGCTTGGACACACCCTTCTCCAGGACCCGCTCTGCCCCTCGCCCCATCCCTTCCCTCTCTCCCTATCCCCGCCCAGGCCCTACCTCTTCTTAGACCCCACCCCCTCTAACCCCTCTTCTCAGACTCCGCCCCTTATTTTCAGACACGCCCCTTCCTCCCACTCTCAGACCGTTGCTCTAAAGCTCCTCCACTCTCTTCAGTCTAGCTGAACTCTGGCCCCTCCTTTTGGCATACACGGCCCCTCCCACCACTATCCCCGCCCCCTTGCCGAGACTGGTCCCACCCTCGGACCACGCCCCACCCCCATGGCCACGCCTCTCCGCAGGCCGGGCCCCGCCCCGCTCCCCGGGTCTCGGTCTCACCGGTCGGCGCACGCGGCTCCCGTCACTCGAACGCGCGGCGGCGACGGCGGCGGTGGGAAGATGGCGGAGTCCGGCGGCGGGGGCGGCGGCGGCGGCGGCGGCGGCGGGGTCCCGGGCCAGGAGCGCCCGAGCAGGTGAGTCGCGGTCTGCCGGTGGCCCGCACCTGTCCCGGCCTGCGGGACGCCCTGGGAGTCCTGGAAGTCCGGCCCGGCCTGAGGAGGAGCCTTCGCGGGGACTCTGGGCTTCGGGGGCCCGAGGGCCTCTGAGGAGCAGGTGACGGCGGGCCGGGCTCCCCGGACCTCCAGGTGTCTGCGTTGGTCCCCGGAGGGCTGGTGGGACGCCCTAGAGTGGTGGGCGAGGGACCTACAGATACCAAGGTCTGGGAGGCAGAGGGCCAAGCGGGGGCCACAGGCAGTGGGGGGCTCTGGTGAGGAGGCGTGCCCTGTTGCGCTGAGTGTAGGAGGCTGGGAATTGAGGGCTTGGCAGGGAGAGCTGGGAGGGGACACTGAGGAACCCGAGGGTCCCAGCGGGTCCTGAAGGGTGGGCGGGGTCTGGGGGTGTAAGAGGCCCACGGGTTCAGAGGGGCTAGGGTGGTGTTGCGGGGCCAGAGGACTGCCGGAGAGCGGAGGGCTGCAGGAAACAGGCTCCTTCCTGGGGGCTCCTTCCATCCCCTTGGGGTTCACTCCCCTCGCTCTGGCAGAAGAACTTGAGGTGAGGTCTTGCCCTGGCATTATGGGGCATGTTTCACTCCGTGGTCAGAGGGAGGCTCCCTTTCTTCATGCCTGAGACCTGAGATGGGTTGCTTGAACCCCAGAATTTACCAAAAAATCATAGGTACTTCTGTGCTTCTAAGTGTTGCCCTGGAGTCTTGGGGGAAGAGCACCTGCCTGTTTTCACATTGAATGACACCCAGACCCTCCCACCTGAGCCCCCCAGGACCCCACCATTCTCAGCTGGCCAGGAAGGAAATTCAGGCTCCTTCTTGCTGGGGAGCTTACAGGAGCCAAGGGTTTCCCTCAGCATGGTGAATGACGAAGTTGGACCATACATGTGTGTGTGGAGTTGGCCCTGCTTGTGGGTTGGGCTTTGGAGGTGGATGAAATGGAGCTGGCATGGATGGCACAGTCAGGGCAGAGGATGCTGAGTGCCACCTTGAGGCTTCCATGTGTGGGCAGAGCAAGGCAGGGGACTGAGTCGGCTTTGCCAGTGGCTGTGGAAAGACAGTGACCTCTGTGACCAGAGGACTGACCAGCTTCTTGGGGAGGAAGTGAGGGTGGGTAAGATTGGAGGGCTGGAATGGGCAAGGCTTGGTGACCAGGCTCCAGGCTGCAAGCAAAGGAGAGATAAAAAAGGGCCACTGAGCCAGGTATGGTGTCGCATGCCTGTAATCCCAGCACTCAGGAGGCTGAGGCAGGAGGATTGCTCTGAGTTGAAGGCCAGCCTGGGCTACATAGTGAGACCTTGTCTCAAAAACAAGAAAACAACAACAAAAAAAGAGGGCCTGAAAGCCCTAAGTGCCCACCTTGGGCCCTGGGGTGGGTTAGTCTGGGACAAGGGCTCTTTGCTTTGCTGTTGTTGCTCTTATTTCTGGGGGTGGAACTTAGCACCTTGCTTGCACATGCTATGCTAGGGCTTCTACCTCTGAGCCACACACTTTCTTTCTTTCTTTCTTTCTTTCTTTCTTTCTTTCTTTCTTTCTTTCTTTCTTTCTTTTCTTTCTCTCTTTCTCTCTTTCTCTTTCTCTTTCTTTCTCCCTTTCTTCCTTCCTTTCTAGTGCTGTGGATTGAACCCAGGAGTACTCTACCACCAAACTCTATCACCAGGCCTTTTAAATTTTTTATTTTGAGGCAAGATCTCATGAAGTTGCTCAGCCTGGCCTCAAATTTGGAATCCTCCTGCCTCAGCTTCCCAAGTAACTGGGATGACAGGTATACACCACAGTGCCTGACTTGTCTCTTCTTTTCTTTTTTTCCCCCAGTACTGGGGATTCAACTCAGGGCCTTTATGCTGAGCTACATCCCCAGCCCTTTTAAAAACATGTTTTAGTTTGACGCCATCATGGCTTTGCTTTCCATAGCCCACCTGCTTCCTCCAGGATATACTTTTATCTTACCCTTTCCTCTTTTACTCAGCCCAAGCTTGCTCTGCAGAGCCACTTTTTATCTCACTCTTCACTTACTTTTCCAGTAAACTTTGTCACTGCCTATACACACACACACACACACACACACACACGTCTCTCTCTCTATGTGTGTGTACATATATATGTATAATTATTTATTTTTGAGACAGGGTCTGGCTAAGTCACTAAGTTGCCCAGGCTGGGCTTGAACATGTGATCCTTCTGCCTCAGCTTCCCTCAGTGTGGCACCATCACTCTGGCTAACAATGTTTTTGGAAGCTTATGCATGCTGTTGCATTGGAAATTTGTTCTTTATCACTGCTGGATGAAAAGAAACACACTGGCCATCCTTGCAGTGTGTGTGTGGGGGGGGGGGACAATTTGTTTAGCCATTTTCTGATTGGTAGACTGTTAGATTGTTTCCATTTTGACAATTGTAAATAAAGCTGCTGTGAACATCTGGGTAGTCTATTTATGGATATAACACAGCTATCCTATTGGGTAGATAGCTAAGAGTGGAATGACTGGGTCATGAGGCAGATGTGTTTTTAACTTTTTAAGAAGCTGTTAAGCCTACTTTGTGGAACAGCTGTACATTTGGTATCTTTACCCACAATGTTCAAGTGTTCCATTTGCAAATGAGCACAGTGGTACATGCCTGTAATCCTAGCTACTCATCAGGCTGAGGTAGGAGGGTCACAAGTTCTAGGCCAGCATGGCCAACTAAGCAAGACACTGTCTGAAAATAAAACACTTTAGAAAAGGAACTGACATGCGAGGTAGTGCATGCCTGTAATCCCAGCACTTGGGAGGTTGGGGCAGGAGGATCGCTGTGAGTTCAAGGCCAGCCTGGGCTACACAATGAGATCCTGTTTCAAATAAATAAAACTCCAAAAATAAAAAGAGGGAGGGCTGGGGTATAGTTCAGTGGCAGAGTGCCCCTGGTTTTGTTTTTCTGTTTGTTTGGTTTTTTTGGTACTGGGGATCGAACTCGTGACCTTGCATTTGTGAGGCAGGCACCGGAACCACTGAGCTAAATCCCCAGCAAGCAAAAAAATCCCCCAAAAGCAAAACAAAGCTGCAGTTGTTCTCCATCTTCACCAACAGCTGGTATGGCTAGTCTTTCTTTTTAGTCACTCATAGATGTGTTTCATTTCTTTTCTTTTTTCTTTTTTGGTAATGGGGATCGAACTCGGGACCTTACATTTGTGAGGCAGGCACCGGAACCACTGAGCTAAATCCCCAGCCCCTGTGTGTTTTAGTTCTAATTTTGGTTTTAATTTGCATTTCCCCAGTAACTAATGATTTTGGATATTTTTTATGGGTTTCTTGGTGTCTAACTTTTTCTCATTGCTGAGACAAAATACCCAACACCCAAAGTTAAAGGAGGGGGCTGGGAATGTAGCTCAGCAGCGCAGTGTCTGCCTGGCAGGTGTGAGTCCCTGAGTTCGATTCCAGGTACCAAAGGGGAAAAAAAAGTTAAAGGAGGAAATGTTTTTCTGGCTCAGTTTGTAGAGGTTTCAGTTCATAGTCAGCAGGCTCCAAGGCAGGGTGGCTTGGCAGAGGGGCATTGCAGAGAAGCAGTTCATGGCAGACAGAAGCAAAGCAACGCACAACAAGTGACAAGACACAGCCTCTTTCTGCCCCTTTTATCTTATCCAGGCTACTGAAGGTAGCACTCACATCCTTAATCCTAGTGCCCTTAATCCCAGCATTGTACCATGGATCAATCCCAGCCACACACTCTAAATCCAGCCGCCTCTGACAAAGCTCCACCTATGACCACATGAAGCTTCCACAACTAGACACAAGCTATATAACACTTGGCTATTCAGATCTTTGGTAAATTATCTCTTCAGTCTTTCACCCATTTTTTCACTGGGTTGGGCCTGATGGGACCCCAAATAGCCCACAGAGCACTTTTTCTGGTCACCTTATGGGTTTTCTTGAGGTAAAATTTATATAACAAAGTTCACCCATTTCAAGTGAACCATTCAGTGGCATTTATCAACCACAACCTATGTCTAATTCCAAATTATAATTGTGATACTAAAAGGAGACCCCATACCTATTCTTTGTTTTGAGATGGTCCAGGCCAGGCTTGAACTTGCTATGTAGCCTAGGTGGACTCATGTTCTTCCTGCTTCAGCCTCCTGAGTGCTGTGATTACAGGTATGAGCTACCAGGCTGAACAGGCCCCATACCTAGTAACACTCACCTCCTATTCCCAACCCCTAGCCCCTGGCAACCACTGATCTACTTCCTGTTTCTGGATCTGCCTGTTCTGGACATTTTAAATCAGCCGGAACATGACATTGCCTCCTGTGTCTGGGTTTCCTCACTTAGCATCATTGCTGTAGCCTTTATCAGTGCTCCATGCCTCATTGTGGCTGAGTAATATTCCGCACTGCAGGTAGACCACATTGTTTATCCATTCACCACTTGATGGATGTCTTAGTACATTTTCTGTGACTAAAGCATACCAGGGGCTGGGGATATAGCTTACATACAAGGCCCAGCGGATGAGTGCACATAAGAAAGTACAGAAAATAGGAATGCTGAAGACTGGGTGGCCTAACATTATTTGGTGAGTCCCTCTGTGGCAGTGCTGTGTGGTGACAGCATGTCCCTGTGGTACGACTTGGGGCCCTGGTGTGTGGGTGGCCCAGAGGGAGTCAGTGTCTAGGGAACATGTCAGGGAGGGGCAGGGAGGATCAGCCACTGGTGAGAAGATTCCTGTGGTCCCAGACCTGCAGCCTGGCAGGTCAGAGGCCCCTGTGTGGGTCACATCTTTTGGGGGGGACTGGTGGGGCTGCCAAGGGGCGGGGAAAGCTGGCCTTGTCTGTGATGCCGACCTTCCAGCCTGCCAGGAGGTACCTGCGCCCGGCGCTTTGTCCCACGTAGGGCTTTGTCCTCTGGCCAGGAGTGGGAGTGGTTCCTGACTTTCCCTGGCTCTTCCTGTGGTCCCACAACGCTAGCAAGTGTCCTCAGGAGGGAGGGACCTCACTCCCC